AACAATGTGATTTAATTTACAATTATAATTTATAATTAATTATATTATAGATTCAATGTTATACAACTGATAATGCTAAAACTAATGATACTATAATAGAAGAACTTTTTTTTTTAACGATGTGGCACTGCCAGTAACTTATTAAATTTATATATAAGGAAATACAAAGTAAATCAAAAATAAATCTATGCTAAGTACTAGCTATCCCCCGTAATTATATTGCAAATCCGTTTGAATCAACCTATCATCGTCTTTCTCTTTCATCAAGTCCACTAAGTGTATACTTAATGAAAGTTGACATCAACAAGGAAAGAAAAAGAAGACGTTAATGCCTATCTAAAAAGTCTGAAAATGTGTAGCCAAATTTGTTCGCAAGATGTATCCAAATTTCTCAGTTAAAAGAGGGGCTTGATGTTTGTTTGTGAGGCAGGGTGAACTGGCACTATGTTTACGCTTGTCTTATTTAGTGATACCCATTGAACGCTTTTTGGTGATTAATAAATTGCAATGGTGTTTTCAGACGTTATCGTATAGCTTTTGGTAGAAGAGAAGCAGTGAGCATGAGACGATAGAGAGGCATCGCGTTTTATTGCCAGCTATTTTGTGAATAATATTTATTAGGGAAGATAAAATTCTGAATTGAATAATGTCTGTGTAGCCATTAGAAGTATTTGAAGGTAGTGCAAAGATGTTATTGAATATGTCCTCTAGTTCAGTTTAGTGCGCTGTGTATCTGACTCTGTATGAAAAGCTTTACTGGTCAATAAGATCATTTTTGGTAGCCAAGATTGTGTCTATAATTTTTGAGAAGTACAATGGACATGTCCAAATATGGAAAGCAGTTTCAATAGCAACGTTACAATCCATACACAGCCAGTGTTCATATAAGTCAGGTCGTAATAATGTGAGACGTGATAGTGAAGGAAGTTCGTCAATGAAGTTTTTGATTATGAATGATTTGAGCTTACATGAAGTAAAGGATGTAGAGAGAGAAGAGGTATTCATTGAAAAAAAGTTCCAGATAGTGAACCAATTGATAGATTTATTGACTATAAGTACTTTGAGTTTATCATTCCTGTTCAAATCCAGAAAGTTGCCAAATGCTTGTGCTGTAAAGAGTTGCTTGCAAAATCCTCTGATAGAGACCTCAATAGAAATATTATTAAAGCAAAATAAGAGATCTGATGAGAGGACATTATTAAGTAGCAAGGATAGAGGAGGTGTATTGCATTTATCTTTGGCTAATCTATCCACTATTTATTGTAATAGTTTTCAGCATGTGCTTTGATTTTGTGAAGTGAAACTTGAAGGTTGAGGTGATCAGTGATGTATCGGATAATATTCCAGATCATATAATTAGGAACTTTTTCAAGTTTTCTCAGAGAGAGATAGTTGGAGAGTACGTATTTGTTAAAGCTATAAATTATTGCCTGGCTATCTAGGTAGATGTCCACCATTGCGTTGTTTGGGGATACTATAAGGGCAGTAAGAAGGGCAGTGAGGAGAGCATACATTTTAGTGCACGTGGAGGAGGGCCAATTTGTGAGTGAGACTTTGAAGGTAAATGGACCATTGTCTGAGTGTAAGCAAATCTAACTAAATCCCATTTTACAGTTGTCCGTTCGAGATCCTATTAATGAGCCATCAGTGTAAAATGTTAAAGCTATGACACTAATGAATGTGGATTGTAATTGTTTAAGTTTGGGTGAGTGCATAGATGATTGAATAAGAAGATTGATGATGTTTTCAGAAGGCGAAGATATTGGAGGGGGTTATTGTGTAAACTGTGAAAGATCATATTGGTGATACGAGAGATTTCTCTAAATGATTGTTTGGGTTGATTCATGACTGTATGTGATTGCTTAGAAATGGTCTGAACTAAATAGACCAGAGCATTAGGGATATTGATGATGCAACGTCCAGATGAAGCGGTCTGTTTGCTGAGAAGATAACTGAAGCATTTAACAAGCTGACAAATATTATTGTGATTGATGTTGTGAGTGAAATGGTAACAGATGAGATAACTACTGTTTGAGATATCTGCTATAATTTTTCTGAAAGTTAGACCATTAAGCATTGTGTCTCAGGTTGATACTATTTCTTTCATTTGGCTATGTAAGGTGGGCACTTGAGAAATGGGTTTTTAACATGATAAGAGGAAAGCTAGTTTGAATGCTAGTTTGATTAATCTATGTACGTTATCACCGTGGAATTCTTCAACTCGAGGTGGTCACGTTATCAAGTCTCTACTCAAAATTTCTTAACTACAGCTTACTGCGGTCAAGACGTTAGGATTCACCTAACTCTTAACTTTACCAAATCTACGTGTTAAACTTAAACAAATCTATCAAGTATGAAGACTTGAAAGATGAGATTACGAACAATTTTTAATTAAAGAATTCCAATGACGAACTCAATTACAAATAATGTGTAGGAATTACGTCAGACTATATAAAGACACGAAGAGGTAGAAAGATATAAGTTTTGAATTGATTCCTTTATTAATATTGAAACTCGTATGTACAAAAGAGTTTACAAATCTGCAAAAGAGTTACTTTGATTTGCAAAAGAGTTAATTTACAACATGAGCAAAAAGTCTATCTATTTATACAAAATTTCTTTCGTTACAGCTAACTAATTACTATGTTATAAACTAACTAATTTGGCAAAATAAACTATAAATAAAATAAATACATTGAGAATACGTAAAATAATAAAAATATAAAATAAAATAATAATAATAATAAAATTTAGAATATTAGAAATACGTATAACACCAAATATTCTTAGACTTCATTTAATTCGTAAAATTATGATTATTATCAATATTTGGAAGATCTTCAGAATTATGTAGATCCTCCGTATTTTCAGAATTCACAGAATTCCCAGTATTTTCAGAATTTTGGATTAAGAGATCATCATATTACATCATCTACGTGACTTCATTATGACTGGTTAATTGCTTCGTTAATAATGTTTAAGATCAAATTGGTGAAGATATTATCTAATATTCTTAAAAGCACATTAAAGTTCAAGTTCAAAACTATTAGTACTTTTCTACTTCAAGGTTATCATATAGAAAAGAAATTATATATTCATGTAAAAATATAGAATCACTTTGATCAGTATAATTTATTAAAGGCAGTTTGTGAAGCTGATATTAGTACTACTTTCAATAACCTAAATTTTACATACTATTATCGCAAAGTAACCTATAAAGAAAGATTACCTCTTTGCAAGCTAAACATTATTGGGTAATTATTCATACATACTGTCAGAAAATAATTATCTCTTTCAGGTGTCTATAAACAATTATAATCTAATAAATGATGATAAGTATAGCAACCTGTTAATTCTTCAGCATTTTCAAGGAATTGAACTCTTACTCTTATATAAGATATAGAGACATATAGTTCAGTTAGACTAAATAAATGTTCTATTACACAGAGTGATAAATCTAACGTATTTATGATTTGTATGTCAATTCATTAGAAAGATGACCCTAATCCATTAAAGCAAATTTGTTTTGTCGATGTTAAAACTGCATCAGATTCTTATTAGACTACGATTATATATAGATCTCAGATTAATTTACTAAAGATTTTTGTATTATGTTAGAAGCTTTTAGCTTCAGATATACAAGTAAGTTTTAATGATTCACAATATAACTGAAGATTTATTGTGAAGAAAGTGAAAAAGTTAGGAGTTCTCAAATAGATGTTTAAATAAATGTTATTAAAACTTTTGAGTCTCAAAAAAATTACAAAATGACAATATCAGTATAATGAAATAAAAGTTAATGATATGCCTTTTCATTCAAAACATCTTAAAATTCTTAGGTGCATAGCTATTGATGTTCACCCTTGCTTTATGAAATTATATTCTAAGGCTAAAAAGAGTAGTTTAGCATTCTACTGTACCTAAATGAATGTGAGCTTGAAAGTAAAACAGATATGCTATTTACTGCATGTTAGTCGCATGTGACTTAAATTAGGTTATGAAGGTAACTTCATAGTTTACTGGTGTCTTCATAATATAGTGGTGACTTCATAGTCTATCGGTATCTTTATAATATAATGGTAACTTCATAGTCTGCTAGTAGCTTCATAATATAGTAGTATCTTCATAGTCTGCTGGTGATTTCATAATCTAATTACATAATCTGGTGGTAATTTCATAACCTAATATCACAATCTGATGTTAACTTCATAACCTATGTACGAGTATCTCCTTTGCATTTATAACATTATTTTAACTGTTTCCTGTAAAATATGGTGATGACTTCATAGTCTAATGGTGGATGTGATGCTTTAATTTAATGGTAATGTCATAATCTAATGGTGTCTGCTTTCTTCTTGTTCCTGATTCATTTAGATGATAAATTCTATATTGTTGATACTATCTTTCTGTAGTTGTTTAGATATCTGGTTTTATGTTGAAAATGCTAACCTCCTACGTCTGATTGGATGCTAGATTCTATGTTGGAGTACCTTCCCTTTATGCCTATTTGGTTGCCTTTCTAGGAGGTGAAATGTTGTAAAAAAAATGACAGATAGCGCAGTTAATTTGCTACCTCTATTTTCAATGACAGCTTGTTATACAAAAATTTAATACATAATTATTCGAGATTTTATTAGACCGTTATGCGTACATGATTATCTTAATCAAATATAGAGTAAATATCGGGTATGGTAATATCCATGCGATATATACTATCTTGTTGCCTAACCCATTTGATTACTGCGCTATCTTGCAATCTAATTATTGTGCCAGTATATGTATGCTGATTTTGTGTCTGTAGTTAGTGATCCATTATGTATTATCATGACTGACTCATTTATTTGCCAGAAGTATATCATTTACAATCTAATTATTGCCTATTAGTTGCTGGTATATGTATGTCAATTTCACGTCCTAGAATTGGTGATATATTTATAGTTGGTTGGTTAGAGTATTAGTGGTGCGATTTGTATTATTATGACCAGCCCATTTATATTATACCTGAGTATATATCTAGAAAAGTGTAGGCTTCTTCCAATATTTATATAATAATTACGGAGAAGCCTACACTTTTTGATATATATCAGTTTGCCTTTCATTTTTGATTTGCTGACTAAGTTTGCTATAGCTTCTTTCTACACTCTCTGAAAAAAAAAAATTAATTAAACATTTTCGAATTTTATAGAGTTAGTATATCTTTTTAAACTATTATCATGCATACCTCAACTATTTCTGACTAAACTGATCGCGAAACTCTCACCCACTACGATGGTACTGAGTCCGATGAATATTTAAGCGACTCAAGCAGTTATTCTGATTATGAATCTGATTTGAGATCAGATGCTTATAATAATTACAAGTCTAATTATGAATCTGATAATGAAGAAGCTCCCTGCACTTCAACCAGCATTATTGAGACTCTATTAGTTTAGCTTTCAAATATACAAGAGTGAAATGTTAATGTAACATATACTTTAAGGAAGAAAAAGTTTAATGATAAATTTTCTCCTAAAGATTTGGAAATTCTCTCATGACCATTTAGAGATATGTCAGATGAAAAGGGGTCATTGGAATGTTTTTCAATTTATTCATTTCTCTTTCTGAATGAAAAGGGGTCTAGTTTATATAACGTTTATGACCGAAGTGAGGTGGAAAATAAATTAGTTATCAAAATCGACCAAGATGGTAATCATGCTCCCAAATTTTCTGTTGCTGACGACATTTTTGAAGTATATAGCTTACCTGGAATTCATGAATGTATTAATGGTCAAAAACCTTTAAGAGCCGTGATTGATATAGATGCTTTACAGGAAGATATGAAAATAACTGGTGTTAAGACAGAGGAAGTATTCATCCGAATCTGTTGCTCTTTTATAAGAGCTTTGTATCGTATCCTTGATTGTAGCTGGGAAGACATTCTTAAAGGGTTAGTAGTTGCTACATCATCAGATCCTAGCAAGTATAGCTATCATATTATATATGCACCGGCTCTTCTTATAAATTATTATGAGCTTAAAGCATTCACTGAATTAGTATATACCTTAACCGGAAAACGTTTGACAAGTATATTGATAGAGGATTGCCTAGTCAAAATTTTAATCTTTGTCTTATCGGTTCAGCAAAAAAAGGTTGTGTAAAACGCATCCTATTATATTCGATAAATAATGGGTGGAATGAACTTGACTATATTAGAGTCCAACCATCTGCTAGTTTGTGTCTTGAAGTAAGACCTAGAATGCTTAGCATAGAAAAAATAATAATTCGCTAAGAATATCTGTAGGTTAGGATATATTACAAAAATACGCGGACTTAGTTTTATAAAAGCACTCTAACTATCTTAGAGATTGGACTATCGAAGAAAAGGACTCAGAAATCTTTATATATTTTAACTGAAAAGCTCTACTAGAATGTTCACTATATAAACGTATATATGACAAAGATCAGAGGTGGTTTGGCTGTGTATATGCTAGCAGTAAAAGGTTCATCGTAAAATGCTTTCGGCAGAATAGTGATGAACTAAGGGATATTTTTGAATGTAACCCATATATTGCAAAAAAAATTTAGCAAAAAAATAAAAAATCTTTGCAACCCTCTCACAAGGTAAAGGTTCTGGATTTCCCTAAAGCTTTCATAAAAATGCTATCTTAGGTCAA